AAAACCCCAAACCCGTTGTGAAAAGAAAAAAAAAAAAAAAAAAAAAAAAAAAAAAAAAGCCAAACATATACAAGGGATAATATCTAATTTGAGCACAAATATGTGCTTAAATGGACATTTCTTCCCTGCCTGCACATGAATAGCCTAGTATTAACTTTCTGTAAAGTGACTTGGTGATGCGAATAAATGTTACTGGGTAAAATGAGGAAAATCTGTTGATGGAAGTATAACTATAGTCTTTGTCCAAGACTATACTACAGGAAATGTATTATAGAAATGCTTGAAGAGTCGGAACCAGTAGTTGGTGTAGTGGCTATGTTGCTGGACTCCCATGTAGTCAACTGTGGTTCGAGTCCTGGACCTGGTGGCTTAAACTCATGCCAGGTGTGTGTGCGAGTGTGCCTAAGATCCTGAGAGCAGAATGGAAGAAAAGGCATTGCTCCGTGGCCATCCCCCCGGGGGGGTGATTTCTCACTTTCTGTCTCTCTTTCTGGCAAGCACACACTCCCTATAGCAAAAACCTCTCCAAAAAAAAAGAAAAAAGGAAATGCTTGAAGAGTCTCCCAAGAATTCATGAAAAATGTGTATTATGAAAAAATAATGAGTGGATTTCAAAAAGTTTTTGCATCAAGATAAATTTGTTCTTTACGTTCATGTTTCCATAAACTTCTTGAAGTCCTCTTGTGGAAGGCTACATATCAGACTGAAAATGAAACCTCTGTCTCTCAGTGACATTAGATTCAAGTAGTATTCTACTTAACTGTGAGAATGCTTTGGTTAAGACTCAGCTCCTGCCATGCTGAACTCGCATACATATATTTCTTTGGTGGATAAGAATTACTATTAGGGGAAAACCAACTGAAAAAGAAATCTGTTCTTAGTTTGTTGAATCTGCTTCAGTGCCTTTGTTTTGTGAAATTAAAGCCATTCTGGAGTATGCCATGTGGAAAGAAAATCTCCATTCTTTGAGAAACTAAAAATTTGAAGTTACAATATTGAGCAACTTTGGACCAGCTGATGATGTGTGGTTAAGGTGGCTGGGTCCCATGTGGCTGACTGTGTGGTCAGCTGGACCCTGCAGCTTGAAAAACAAGTCAGGCATGTGTGCATGCTCAGCATCCCAAAAGGAGGAATTGGAGGAGAAGAGATTGCAGCGTGGCCATCCCCTACGGGGGCTGCTCTCGGGGGCTACTCTCTCGCTTTCCTTCTATCTTCGTTGAGCACACACACCCTCCAGCAAATTTTCTCTGTTTGCCTTAGATGACGAGAAATCCATCTTTCTTGTGTAACTTTGTCCTTTTTGCTTCTGTTCTCTTTGTAGTATGTGCCAAGTGCACTCTGCTGCCCCAGCAGAGCTAGTATCCTGACAGGGAAGTACCCACATAATCATCACGTTGTTAACAACACATTAGAGGGAAACTGCAGTAGTAAATCTTGGCAGAAGATTCAAGAACCAAATACTTTCCCAGCAATTCTCAGATCGATGTGTGGTTATCAGACCTTTTTTGCAGGGAAGTATTTAAATGAGGTATGTTGAATGGTCTATTTAAATTTTGTAATAATAGCTTTTAAATGTGAATTTATATAACGCATACTCACTTCAATTCAAGTCGGGTTAAAGAGCATTTGGTATGCAGTTTGTCCTTCTTATCCACAGCTTCCATATCACAGATAACAACCAATTCCAGATTGAAAATGTCACATTGTTACTGATACAGAAGGTGTAGTTAGGGGACCAGCAGTTAGCATAATGGCTATGTCGCTGGACTACCACGTAGTCGACCACGGTTCGCTTCCCGGACCCAGTGGCTTAAAACTCATGCCGGGCGCGTGTGCGTGCGTGCCCAAGATCCCAAGAGGAGAAGGGATTGCGGCGTGACCATCCCCCCTGGGGGGTGATTTCTCGCTTTCTGTCTCTATGTCTCTCTCTCTCTGTCTGGCGAGTGCACGCACCCTATAGCAAAAACCTCTTAAAAAAAAAAAAAAAAAAAAAGGTGTAGTTAGGCCTAGGATGGTGATGGTTGAGTCTACTGAACACGTACAGAATTTTTTCTTGCTATTCTTCAGGAAATAATGACAACTATGTATACAGCATTTACATTGTGCTGGATATTGTAAGTTAATCTAGGATGATTTGAAATATATGGGAGGATGTGTGTAGGTTACATAAGAGACTCAAACATCCTGGTTTGGGTATCTGCAGAAGTCCTAAAACTACTCACTCATGGATACTGAGAAATAACTGTATATGTTTTTTTCCTCCTAATCTTCTCATTAAATAAGAACTTATTATATGCACGTGTGTACATGGTATGGGTACTCTAGTCACTCTTCCTTTTACTAGTCCCAAGAGCATTTATTTCAACATTGTCCTATGACTGCTGCTGTCTGCTACATGTTCCCTTTTCCTTCAGATATTTTGCCTGTCATGCAGCTGTCATGGGGTATCTTGGTTTCCATTTCCCCTTTCTTAGGATCAGAGTGAAACATTTTTCCATCTTGGAATTTTTTTCCTCAGTTGTTTAGAACCATTTATGGATTATAACAACTTAATGCTCAACTCATTTTCTACCTGAAGGAAACAAACAGCTGAGAGATTAATGATAAAAGAAGGAGCTTGGTGCACTCAGGCCATTAAAGCATATGGCAGAGTGGTTGGTACCCTGCCTAGTTGGCCTGGTCGGAGGGAGGCCTCACTGTGACCTGTCAAGGCTAGGTTTCATGGTCCCAAGTCCACCACTTTGGCCTTGGACTTAGCTTTAGACAAAGCTCAAGCTTGCAAGAGTGTAATTGGGAGAGTTTGGTTTTAGCTCTTATAGTAAAACTGGGGATGCAGGAAAAGAGATGTACATTTTCTTAGACATTTTATCTCTGGTTACTAGAGATTGTAGTATCTGATATGAATTTTTGATTAATTCCTCCCCTCCCCCTATAGTTGGGGGAATCTGCAGCCTTGTGGGTTTGAAGGGAGATGGGTCAGTTTGAAAAGAGTCATAAGAAATAGGAAGTGTTATTGGCTGGGTTATGGGTCCTAAAGAGAACTTATAGTACTTTGCATATTGAAGATCATCTGAGATGTATATAAAATTTGAAAAAAGCTTTAAAGTACAAAGATTTAGTACTCAGGGATTGAATTCTACCTTTATTGGGCAGTGTTAAACCTTGTGATGGTAGAGTGGGATCTTTCTGTGGCCTTTTCACTTACCTAATCAGATAAATTAGCCCCAAAAGCAGATTTCAGCTGTAAGACAATTGTAGTACTAGGCTGATAGCTCATCGTCTGATTACTGTGACTGTTACTGGCCACCAGGTCGGTCAGACTGTTCCATCTCTGCCCTCAGTAAGTAGCTCAGCCTTACCCATCAAGGGGCTCTGTGGGCTAAGCCACATGGGCTTTTTCTGTAGGGGACCAGATGGTAAATATTTCAGGCTTTGCAGGCCATATGGCTCTGTTGCAACAGTTCAGTACTACCATGGTGGCAGCCATAGACATAATGTTAAAAAAAAAAAAATGGGCATGGCTGTGTTCCAATACAGTTTTCTTTATCATCCTTGAAACTTGAATTTCCTGTCACAGCTCACACATATTCTTCTTTTGATTGGCTTTTATATTTTTTAACAGTTAAAAAAAAATTCTTAACTTACTGAGCATATAAAACAGTTGGCAGGCAGATTTGGCCCACCAGCCAGAGTTTGCCATCCCCTGCTTCAGAAATCTCGAGGGTTATAGACTTCTTTGTACTTTGATTGGTTTATGTGTTTGGGAAAACTAAGCACCTACTGTGTTTCCGGCAATGGTCTAAAAAAAATTCTTAGTTTCCTGTTTTCTTTCTGACTTGGTCATGTCTAAAGATTTCTGATGTCCTCGTTTTCTTGCTTTTCAGTATGGAGCCCCAGATGCAGGTGGACTAGAACACGTTCCTCTGGGCTGGAGTTACTGGTATGCTCTGGTGAGTGATCATGGGAGTCGGTGACGATTAAACACAGTTATACACATCTGCCCTGCAGATGTCAGAAATGCTTACTTTCTCTTTTGCTCTGATATTCACATAACTTCATTTGCTTTTATGGCTAGCTGTTTAGTGTCCTAAAAATAATCTGTTGTGAGTCTCTTCTTTCTGGGATGCTTTCCTACATTATACAAGTTTTAGCAATGCGGTTTGCTATTCTAGCCAATCCACTTGTGGCTTTTCAGCTAGGACGTATTACAGAAATTACAGTCTTTAATAAAACCCTAGCCAAAAAATTCAATTCGATATTGACTTGAGGGCTAACCCTATGGTCGAATGGTTAAGGGAACCAGATCCCACAATGCTGACCACACAATTTGAGTCTCAGATCTGGTGACTTGGAAAACATGCTAGATGCATGTCCATGTATGCCTCAAATCTTGATAGGACAGATAAATGCAGGAGGAGGGATTTTGATGTGACCACGCCCCATTGAAGAATGCTTTCTCCCTTTCCCACTCTGTCTCCCTCTGGCAAATGTACATACCCTCTGGCCCGCATTCACTCATTCATTTACTTATATCAACTTGAGTTACTATCTTTTTAATATTTTGTTATTGATGACACAAAGTGCTGTTTAGCCCACCATGGATTCAGACTTTGATTTTGTATGCTGATCCCATAACAAACTTTCCTTTCCTTTTTTTAATAGGAAAAGAATTCTAAGTATTATAATTACACCCTTTCTATCAATGGAAAGGCACGGAAACATGGTGAGAACTACAGTGTGGACTACCTGACAGATGTTTTGGTGAGTTGCCAGAGCTCTATAGCTCTGTCCTGACAAGTTTGGCTCCCATTTGATGGACAGCTCTGTCTAGAAAACTTTTTTGTTTTATTTATGTTGGATAATTCGGCCAACTGCTCGAGATTATAGCCAGCTGATTAAAAACTTCTGAGATGGGCCGACAGGTGGTGCAGTGGTAAAGGTGCTGGACTCCCACATAGGCAACTACAGTCCCTGACCCAGAGGTTTGAGACCCAGGTCAGGCATGTATGCTTGTGTGCCTAGAATCCCAGCAGGAGAGTAGAGGAGAAGGAACTGCGTTGTGGCCATCCCTCCTGCCCCAGGGGAGGTGATTTCTCACTTTCTATCTCTGTCTTTCTGGCAAACTTATGCACCATATAGCAAATATATTTCAACTTTTTTTTTTAGAGAGTTGTTTTTTTTGTTTGTTTGTTTGTATGTGGAGAGGTTTTTGCTTTGGGGTGCGTGTGCTCCTGCCAGAAAGAGAGAGAGAGAGAAAAAGCAAAAAATCACCCCCCGGGGGGGATGGCCACGCTGCAATCCCTTCATTCTCTTCTCAGGATCTTGGGCACACACGCACATGTGTCCGGCATGAGTTTAAGCCACCAGGTCCAGGACTCAAACCGCAGTCGACTACATGGGTATTCAACGTAGCCATTATACCATCTGCTGGTCCCCCAAAAAAGTTAACTAAAACCTGGTGTACTGGGGACTTTCCTGTCCTGAAGCTTTTTTTTTTAAAGAGGCTTTTGCCTTAGGGCATGTACGCTTGCTGCAGAGAGGTTTAGGCAGAGGCAATGAAAGGGAGAGTGAAAATTCAACTCCCCAGGGGGTGACCACGCTGCAATCCCTTCTCTTCCCGGGATCTTGGGCGCGCACACACACACCTGGTGTGATTTTGAAGCCCCCCGGGTCCTGGACTCAAACCATAGTCAGCCACGTGGGAGTCCAGTGACATATCCACTACACCATCTGCTGGTCCCCTATTCTGAGGCATTTCTAATGCCAGCCTTCCACAGAGCACCTTGTGTAGCAGGTGTTCAGCAGTAAGTGCAGTAGAGTCACTAATTATGTGGGAGGTAACGTCTAGGGGCAGGATTTCAGTGTATGCCATGTGTCTGTGTATATATACACGCACTCACTTATTATCTCATTAAATGGTGATCAGGTAGAACAACATAGGGTAATCAGGGATCGTAGGCAGCATTTAGGCAGAAGCCTGAAGGAGGTAAGAATGGGCTGTACAGATCAAGGGAAAGAATGCCCCAGGCAGAGGAATAGTAAGTGCAAGGGCCCTGAGGCAGGAGTGTTCCTGGCACTGTTGAGAACTGGCGCGGAAGCTAACAGAGTTGGAATAAAGTAGGTGGGTGGGAGGGCGCTGGGAAACATACAGCCAGGGTCTTTTCAGTTAGGAGTAGACATAACTAAAAATAATAGTAATAATTAGAACAATTGAAAGAATGAATGTGAATTAAAATGTGATATTTCTTTTTCATGAAATATGTCCTGATAAGCAAATTAAAAAAATGTAAGTCCATATCATTTAAAGCCCTGGTGTGCTATATGTGGATCTTAGGAGCTAGATAATTTCTAGATCATGTATAATCAAGATCTTGATTGCTTTCTCATCATGGTGTGCTTTTCAGTTTTTTTGTTCTAAGTATTGCCTAAAAGCCAGATGTATTTGTTCTAACAAAATGCTTGCAAATGATTGACGTAGACTCAAGTGCTAAGATTGGTTAAAGTTAATATCCTGCAGGCCAGCAGGTGGTGTGGTGTTTAAGGCACTGGACTTCTACATGGGTGACCATGGTTTGAGTCCGGGACCTCTTGGCTTGCTTTCTCACTTTCCCTCTTTTCCTCCCTCCCTCTCTCTCTTTCTCTTTCTTGTCAAATTAAAACATGATAATAATGGGGCCGATAGGTGGCATGGTGGTTAAGGGTACTGGATTCACACATGGCCAACCGCAGTTTGAGTCCAGGACCTGGCGACTTGCTTTCTCACTCTCTCTCTCTCTCACTCTGTCCCTCTCTGGTCAAATTAAAAATAAATAAATAAAAACAAAGTCAAATAAAATAATTCTTTAAAAAATGATCACAATAAATTAAATAATTTTTTTTTAAAAAGCTAATACTCTGGACCAGCAGGTGGCACAGAGGTTAAGGCACTGGATTCTACGTGGCCAATTGTACAGCTCATGTCCTAGACCTGGCTGCTTAAAAGTTAAGCTGGGCATGTGTGCATACATGCCCAGAATCCTGAGAGGAGAAGGGATTGCTTGCTTGTGGCCATCATCTTGGGGAGGGGGGAGTGCTTTCTGACTTTTCCTTTCTCTCTCTCACCTCCGCACCTCCTCCCTCTCTCTCTCTCTCTCTCTCTCTCTCTCTCTCTCGTCTGCGGGTGCACAGATCCTATAACAAGAACAACAACAATAAAAATTGATTCAAAGCTAATACTCTTTGCTCACCAGAGGACGTTTATCTATTGAGTACTCAAAAGTTGGGTAGCATTGGAAATGACAAATCTTTGTCTGTGTCAGGCCAATGTCTCCTTGGACTTCCTGGACTACAAGTCCAACTTCGAGCCCTTCTTCATGATGATCTCCACTCCAGCACCTCATTCGCCGTGGACAGCTGCACCTCAGTACCAGAAGACTTTCCAGAATGTCTTCGCACCAAGAAACAAGAACTTCAACATCCACGGAACGGTAGCTTCCCTTAATCCCTGCATTAAGCTGTAGCAGGAAAATTACCCACATATACTGGTTAGGAAGGCTTTGAGCCCTGTGTTGTCGGTTTTCCTTCATGACCTTTGAGAGGTCATTGTACCTGTCCCTAGTACACAGATCATATAAACGTATTTCACAGTGTGGTAGAGATTCTTGCCACACATCCAGTGAGCACCTGTCCTTACCATGCCACAGAGAATGTTAAAAAAAGGTCATCTTTCCTGATTATAGGAGAGCCACTCAGGCTCATCTCTAATGGCTGAGACTCATTCCTCGCAACCGAGCTGGGCATGCAACAGCCTCCAAGGGGTGGCATAGTCTAAATGGCTAGGAAGGAAGTGAATGGAAAAATAACCCAGAGCAGGAGACGGGATCAAAGGCCACAACAACCCAAATACTGGGTCATCGGAAAAGTCATGAGGTATTTTTTCATAGAAGAACCCAAAAAAATACGTCATGACTTTTTTGATGACCCAATATTTGCCTCGTGTGCCAGCTTCTCACACTTCCCTTAACACAGGGGAGAGGTGGTTCCCTGGCTTAAAGCCAGACAGCCCCCACTGCCTTGTCATCCACAAATCATCATTAGTTCTGAAAAGGTTGTAGAAAGAACGTTTCTGAATGTCAGCCCCAACACCACTCCTTTCCAGCTGTTCCAGCTATCCGTGATCGGCCCAAGATGTTTAAGTTTTCTTTTTCTTTCTAAAGTGGAAGATCCTGACCCCTCAGACAACTCCTGTACAGATTGCAGTACTTAGAAGCACCTCGCACGTTAGGTGCACATCGCAGGCATATGCTTGTTACATACGATTTTCAGGCTCAGTGAACTGGGTCTTCAACTAGAGGGCTGTTCTCAGTCTCTGTTCTAAAAGAAGTTAATAGACGTTCACATGACCAAGTAAGTCTGGAAACCGGGTTAAGTCAGTCACTCTGCTACAGGACTTCTCAGAGTTATTCATAGTCTCATGGGAATTTCCAGTGGGAAGATAGGCTATATAGCATTTGTTACATTTATCAACTAAAAACTACTCAAGGAGCATAGTTTAGGAGATGGTGGCTCAGAGTTTATGAATAGAGCATAGATCATTGTGTATGGGGATGCTTTTGTTTTTAAAATGTGACTCTTTAAATGGCAAGTACCATCTAGAGTTAAACTTGGAGTTTTAGGAAACTGCTGAGATGGGCTTTTTCTCAAAGATCTAAAGTGATACCTTATTTGGAGCTAACGTTAATATTCACCCATTTGTATTTGTAGTGGACCCAAAGCATAGTATAAATTTAACCCCATTTTAGCCAGTTGTTTTCCAATGGCATTCACTAAAATCTCTTCTTAATGCTGCTAATAAAGGAGCCAAGGCCTCTTACCATTTGTGAAGGACTCAAAAGCTAAAGAATGAAAGTGTTAATCTGTGGAAATGCCTTTTTAAGAAACATAAGAAAAGGATAGAAGGTCTAAGTTTGCTTAAACAGGTCCCTGTTAGGTCCTTTGTTCTAAAGCATGAAATGATCTTATCTATTCTAGTAACCTAGTATAGCTGACTAGATTGACTGTGATGACTTGATGTTAACATTTTTTTGCTTCTAAATTTTAGAACAAGCACTGGTTAATCAGGCAAGCCAAGACTCCAATGACTAATTCTTCAATACAGTTTCTAGACAATGCGTTTAGGAAAAGGTGAGAGCTGCAGCTGCTTTCTTTCTTTGAGTGATTTTGAGGCCCCTCCCAACTAGCCCCTAACAGACTACTCCGTGAACAGAAGGAAGCCCATCAGTGGAAGAGATGCTTTGATGGGGCACCTGCTGCCACAGAAGGGAAAGATTCTTCCTTATTTAAGTGTTTGAGGTGGCCTTTGGACCCCACTAATATAAACCATGTGTTTTTAAGATCTGTTAAAGAGTACTGGTCCATAGCATAATAGTTAAGGGAGCTGGATCCCATGTGGCTGACTGCAGTGCAGATCTCCCCCAGCAGCTTGGAAAACACTCTAGGCACGTGTGTGTAGGTGTCTAAAATCTCGACAGGTTGGAGAAGTGGAAGAGAAGGGATTGCAGCATGACCATGCTCCATTGGGGATGTTTCCCCTTCCTCTTTCTCTCTTCCCTTCCCTCCGCATTAGATTTAAATAAATAAATAAAAACTTTTTCAAAATACTGCAAACTCAAACCATTTGGTAGAAAATTTTCCCCTATGGGGGCCAGCAGGTGGCTTGGTGGTTAAGGACGCTAGACTCTCACATGGCCAACTGTGGTTCAAATCCCAGACCTGGTGACTTGCTTTTTCCTTTTCCCTCTCTTTCTCTCTCCCTATGTCCCTCTCTGGTCAAATTAAGATGAATAAAGAAATCTTTTTTTAAAAAAAGAAATTTTCCTCCATGTTTAAATAAAAGGTCTCTCAGTGAGAGATCTGCCCACACATTAGACCAAAGACCCAAAGGCTCAGAGTAGAGCAAAATATTTGCCTTTGCTATTTGTAATTTTTACAAAATTCTTCTACATTTTTTTTTAAAATCCATTACATTCTCTCAGTATGTAGTTTAGGCCAGGGACCAACCAAGTTTCTTTCTTTGTTTTTTTCCAGAGAGAGGATTTTGCTGAGGTTGCATGCCCTTGCCAGAGAGAGAGTAAGAAATTGTCCCTCCCTCGGGGGGATAGCCACACCGCAATCCCTTCTCCATTCTCCCCTTAGGATTTTGGATACGCACACACACACATCCAGCATAAGCTTCATGCTGCTTGGTCCAAGACTCAAACTGCAGGTAGCCATGTGAAAGTCCACCATGCCACCTGCTAGCCCCCAACCAAGTTTTTCTGTCAAGGGCCAGATAGTAAATATTAGGCTATATATTCTCTACTAAATTCTGCAGTTATGCAGTATGCAAGTAGCTCTGGATAATATGTAAATGAATGAATATGGTTGTGTTTTCGTAAAACTGACAAGCAGGTAAACTGGCCCATTGTTAAACACTGTCATAACACAGGCTTATCTGAATTAATTTATCTCAATCAGTACTAAGTTGACAACTTTCCCTTCTGACTGTCTCTACTTGTCTCAAACGGCAATACAAAAAATAAAGCTACAGAGCATAGCTGGAAGCCACATGGAAAGCCAGGACTTAGTTCCTAGGCCAACCTGAACATGCTATGTGCACTTGTGCCTACCTATAATTCTTGCGAATTAGGAGGCTGGGGCTGGGGGATTGCAACACGGGCAGACTCTATCAAAAATACCTGTCTTTGTCTATCTGTCTCTCTCCTTTCTATCTTACATAAAGGAAACAAACAAAGCTAACTGATTGTGAAAAAGCCTACTTTGTTTTTTTCCTAAACAGTTAACTTTGCAATGAATTAATTATGTTCTGGAATTTCCTAATCTGTGTTTTGTAATGAGAGTGGTCTAGAGAATGGAAATTTGGGTTTTGAGCTTTTGAAGAAAAAGGTGATTTTTTGTTTTTGTTTGTTTGTTTGTTTGTTTTAATGGATGGAGTCCGTTTTTTGCCTTTTTTGGTAAGATAGTGATAACTTAGCCATTGCCCTTGAAGTCTCATTTCCATGCTGTGTTCACATCCAGGTGGCAGACTTTGCTCTCAGTTGATGACCTTGTAGAGAAATTGATCAAGAGGTTGGAGTTCACTGGGGAGCTCAACAACACTTACATCTTTTATACTTCAGACAATGGCTATCACACAGGTAAGAGGCAAGGGCGGGTACTTCTGTAAACTCCGAGAGTGTGTCTTTTCCTTTTTCACCCATTCCGGATCCCTGGCAGGGAATTTAAGTCCATTTATAGCTGTAGACACATCAGAGAGAGGTTCATGCTCCCAGGACCCCACTGATTAGAGAACCATAGTGTCGCCCCCCCGTGAAGAAATGAGGTTTTGGGGCCAGCAGGCGGCATGGTGGTTGTGGCACTAAACTCCCACATGGCCAACTGCAGTTCAAATTTCAGACCTGGTGGCATGCTTCCTCACTTTCCATTTCTCTCTCTCTCTCTGTCTCTTTTTGATCGTATTAAAACAAAAATAAATAATAACAAAGTTAAATAAATGAAAAAAAATAAGGAAACAAGATTTCATTATTGGCTGTCCATATGTTCAGTTACATAGTATTCAGGCAGGGGGAGCAGAGAGTGGGCTTGATGGGCTGTAGGCAGGCTTTATGGAAGAGGTAGAAAATTGAACTTGACTTTAATAAGTAGAACTTAGAGAATAGGGGTAAGACATAATTGACAGGAAGAGCAAGAGGAGGTTGTCTTGGAAGAAAATCTTTTCTTGCTAAATCACGGAAACATTTTTGTTTTCTCAAAACTGCAGTGTGAGTCAGCTCTATGCCCTTGACCTCCATCCTTTCTACTTGGGCCTTCCGTAGTTAAAAACAACAGAAGGTGATGATTCTTTCTCCATCTATCAATAACAATCTCCACTAGAGTAGAATTAACCCTGAGGCTGGCTTACATGGAGGCAGGTTTCGTACACATTTAATGTACTAGTTGAATATTTTTAAACACTCAGCATGTAGAGACTAGTATCCATCTTTGCTTTCCAGCTGCGTATGGCTCGTGTTTTTAATCCTTCCTACCACCCCCACGTTTTTTGTTTTTCTTTTTTGCTAGAAGGTTTTAAAGCATGCCCCAGATAGTATGTGATTCCATACATTAACACCTAATGATACATCTGACTAGTTCTTTATGTACAAGATCCAGACAAAGCCTACATGCTACCTTTAGTTCTTATGTCTCCTAATTCTGTCATCTGCCACCAATTTACTGGGAATCCCGGGTCTTTTGTCCTGTAGAGCAGCTCACATTCTGAATTTGGCCAATGATTGTCTTGTGACATCCTAACTTATCTCTTCTCAGCATTCCTTACACATTGGTAGTTCAACAGACTCGATGGAAGTGTACATTTTCACACAAGAGCACTTCCTCAGTGGAACTGCTGTAGCTCTCATGTCAAGTCATGAGGTCATGGTGGCCGCCCCGCTTTGGAGAAGTTACTGTCACTTGACAGCTCAAGTCATTTCAACCTGTGCTCTTCCTGTGAACCTTTCTGTTGTTGAAGCTTCCATTGATGGTTGTTGCTTAAATCCTTTATTCCCTCAGAAGTTCCACAATGTTGGTTCATAATTTTACTTATTTATCTATCTATTTATTCATTTATTTATTTATTTTTGCATTTGCTAGCTGGAATCCCTCAGAGAACTTCCCCTCATTAGTTACTTATTTATCTTCAAATGCAGTTCATTCAGCAAAGGCAGGATAACTGTGTGTTCCTTTATTTGGCCACTTGGGGAGTAACCTCATTCAGTTATGATCAGATTCAGTATTGTGCATACATTCTTCTGTATTCGTGTTCCGGCACTTTCCAGTCATTATTTGTGCTCTATTTGTTTGTCCTAGACCAAGGAGTGCCTTCTAGTCATTTATTAAAAGAAGGTAAACTCATTGTTTTTCCTGCCTTGTAGTCACAGGAGACCCGGGCGAATTTAAGGTTTCTGGTAAAACCTCAGGGCTAGAAGAGCAAGCTTGTTTTAGTTTTTGCCATTGATTAAATGAATCAGACAAAATGTGAGCAACACTTCTGCCTTGACTCCATATCTACCCTATGCATTTTTGTTTTCAGGACAGTTTTCTTTGCCGATAGACAAAAGGCAGCTGTATGAGTTTGATATCAAAGTTCCATTGTTGGTTCGTGGGCCTGGGATCAAACCGAATCAGACAAGCAAGGTAGGTGCCTGACAAGCTGATTGTGTGTACTGGTAAGCACTCGCCCGAGGAAAGGAGGCTTTTCCTCTTGAGCAGAGGCTGATTAGATTCTTCCTAGGCAGAGGAAGGCTGATCAGTGTAAGATCTTGTAAGTGTGCTTAGGAGCCTTGGAAGCAGTGATTCCTTTTTTTTTTTTTTTTTAACTTTTCATTACTTGTTAATTTCCTTTACCTACATATCACATCAGCATGTTTTGTCTTAGCTTTTTTGTGTCTTTTGAGACTAGACCTTAACTTTGTCCTAGAGCAGTGACTCTCAACAGAACGTGCTCAGCAAAATCACCCTCTGAAATCGTAAAGACAAAAAATAGCACATGCCTGGCCACCATCCAGAAAGATCCAACAGACTGGGCCTGGAATAGGGACCCAGCATCTGCCCTTTTTCTTTAAGTTTACGGCCAGTTTTTAGAGGCAGCCTGCTGTGGGACCCACTGTCCCGTCAAGCAGAGCACCTCAGATTTTGTTCTGCTTATGTGAGTCCCCTGGGCATTGTATTAAATGCAAACTCCGATTCTCCATTCCTGACCAGTTTCCAGGAGATGTCTGCTGCTGGTGTGTGCTCACTGAGACTGAGGCTGTGGACAACATGCCTCTCCCTGTGTGGGACTCCCTACTGCTGTGTTCCTGCTGTCCTAGAACTGTCATACTACATACCACCTTCTTTTGTCACTGTTCCATTTGGTTCCAACATATTTTTCCAGACTTGGTATTTAATATAGGAACACTTTGTTCCTAAAGATCATGGCACCTTGATTCAAGACGTTTTCCGCTAACTCTCCGAGATAAGAATGGGTAGACTCCAGTTATGTCTTCTCTCCTTCCTGATAACAGAGTTTCTTTCTTTGTTTTTGTTAGAGTGTGTATGTTTACCAGAGAGAGAGGGAAAAAGTTCTTCCCAGTGGGCATGGTCATGCCACAACCCCTTCTCCATTTCTCCATCCCACTGGAATTTTGGCCCTGTAGCACTTGCACGAGCATGTAGTTTTGTTTTGTTTGTTTGTTTGGTTGGTTTTTTTTTTTTTTTTTTCATACAACCAGGATTGGGACCCATACAGCAGCCAGCCATGTGGGATCCAGCTCCTTTAACCACTAGACTATAGGGCCAGCCCTCCAGTATCACTATGCCAGTCTCAGCTCTGTGAGACCACAGAAATGAACAAACATGTAAGTTATGCTAAAGTTACAAAGTGAGTTTCAATATGGTCCATACTTTCTGGATACTCTGGTACTGTGGATGAATTTGAGGATTAAATGTCTAAATGTCTACCTTTTACCTAGTTCTTTTTACAGTGTTCTTTATGGGATTTTTTAAAAACTCTCATAAAGGTAAAATGGTCTTCATAATTATTTTTGTGTTTTCTTTTTCTCTTAAGACCCACACTCCTAAAGCTATTTTCCACTACAAATTTTGATGCCCTCTAAACAGTCCTCTTCTTTCAAAGGAGATGGCAAGTTGGAAAACCCCTTAATCTTTTTTTTTTTTTAATATTTATGTATTTCCATTTGTCATTATTTTTAAATTTGACCAGAGAGAAATAGAGAAAGAGGAAGTGAGAAAGCAAGCCTCCAGATCCAGGACTTGAAACATGGTTGGGCATGTGGGAATCTAGCACCTTTAACCACCATGCCACCTGCTGGCCCCAAACCCTCATTCTTAAGAGTGTTTTCATTTAAGAATTTTTTATTAAATTATTTATTTATTATTGTTGTTTTTAAGTTTTGCTATAGGGTATGTGTGATCACCTGAGAGAGACAGAGAGAGAGGAAATGCTAGTAAAGCAAGCCACCAGGTCCAGGATTGGAACCACGTTTGGCCACGTGGGAGTCGAGCGCCTCAACCATGCCACCTGCTGGCCCTAAGCCTTAAGAGCATTTTATTGTCATTGAAGTTGAGGAGGAGACCATGTGAGCAGCTGGATGGCTTTCCAAGAAGCAGGGTTATTAGGACCGTGTCTTAAACAGCGTGTGGAAGGAGGCTGAATGAGAACATACTGAGCTGTGCCAGCCAGCTGCTTCTGGAACAAATGGTTCCCCTTTTCTTCAAGTTAACAATGCCATCTAAATGTTAGAGTCAGAAACTTTACCTCTGTAAATAAAGCCTGGTACCTAGGAAGCCATTTCAGCAATAATAACTAACATGCGTTGAGTGCTTAGTAGGTGATAGGTGCCAGTCCGTGTGTGTGACCTGAATCAGTTCATTTCATCTTTTGGGATATCAGTACTATTGTGTCCATTTCACAGAGGTGCAGAAATTAAGTAGTTTGCCCAGTACCTTGTAGTTAAAAGCAAAACCCTGCATCCGACCTGGGGCATTCTGGCTCCAGAGCCCACATGCTTGCCCATTGTGCTATACTCTGTCAACAAGTATTGATTGAGTGTCATCTTGCATGGCACAGTATGTCAGGAGCCTTGGAGACATCATGGAGCAATTGGGGAAGGTCGGTTCTTAAGTCTCTGTGTCAGAGAGATCCAGATACTTTGGCTGCAGTAGTCATTGAAAGCCTCTGACGGATCTGAGCAGAGACCAGATGCTGAGAACAATTTAGTCATGCAAAGGCTGTGGGAAGAGCATTCTGAGCAGGGCAGTCTGTAGTCAAGGTTCTGAACTGCTTTCTCTTCCTCAGGGTACCATCTCTCACCCCCTTGCCTTTGTAGGCCTACTCCCGTCTACAGTGCTCATCTCATGCCCCTTTTACCTGGCCGGCTAAATGGTCCTTTTGGGCTTTGGCTCAGAGCTCCCCTCAGGGAGGTCACTTCAGACTCCTGCCCTCACATGAGGTAGATGCCATTCCTGTATGTTCCTGGCTGATCTCACATTTATCACAGCGAGTTTGTTTTTCACTCTAGGATGTCCTAGAAAAGAGGAACTGTCTAAACATAGAATACTCAGCCCTTAACATATTGAAGGTCATCTGTGTTGGTTGAATGAATTTTGCCAATGCCACTAAAATGTAAAATTTAAAAAAAAAATGTAATTGCTGGAGAGAGGGAGAAAGAACTCCTCAGTGAGGCGTGTTTACACCAAAATCTGTTCTCCATTTCTTCATCTTGTTGGGATTTTGGGCATATATAGCACATGTGCTTGGCTTATTTTTCAAGCCACCAGTTCAGGATTCAAACTGTGGTTGGGACCTGGCCTCCTTTCACACCACACCACGGTGCTGGCCCTTATGTCTGTTCACAAATCCATGTTTTCTTACACTGCTGTGCTGATAGATGGAGGTGAAGAAGAAGGAAATGGCCCAGCTTTTATCCAGCACAGCGGATGTCAGAGACAGTGAGTGATTTCTCATGTGTCGGCAGCTCACTTGTAAGTGCCAGTCGCTCTATGCAAGGGGCACAGGCTTGCAAGTGGTCATAATGAGCTCAGCTGTCAACAGCCTGACACCCAAAGCAGCTCATGGTTAACTGACCTGTGGACTTGGCTATGGGTCAGCTGTCTGGGAGAGCAGGTCAGGTTGTACATGTGGATGCCAAAGAGTGGCTGTTGAAATTTTTCCCTCTGGCTGGAAACTAATCTCCCTTAGATTTGGTGGTAGTTCTCTGAAGAGTTTTGAGAAAGGAAACAGCTAGGGGCCAGCAGGTGGCGTGGTGGATGGCGCGTTGAACTCACTCATGGCTGACTGCCAACCTAGCAGTCAGCTTTCTCACTCTCCCACTTCTCTCTCTGTCTCTCTCTCTCTCTCTCATCAAATTGAAGAAGAAGAAATAAAATTAATTTTTTTAAAAAAGGAAACAGCCAGTAAGAAAACTAGAATGAGACAGCATGGTCAAAGAGAAACAGAACTGAATTGAGAGCCAAGAAGACCACCGTTGGCTTTAAGAATTTGGACAGAACTAAGCCTCAGTTTCCCTAGTTGTGAAATGGGGGGGATGTTTCATCTCATTCTTGGGTGTTACTAGGGGATGTGCTGACATTTTCCTTCTTAGAGAAGCTGGGGCTGAGGGCAGATCCAGCTGAAGCAGCCCAAGACTCAGGGTCTCTGCTTTCTCATGCAGTTACAGAGCTTTTCACTAAGTGCATTGGGGATACTTTCTCATATACTTTGAGTCTTTCCTTTGATAGACCTGCATGAATTTTTTAACATCAAGGCTTAAGTGTCTGTTTGGAAACCTGATGTGTTGGTTCAGAGAGCCCACTGTGTTTTTGGTCTTTTCAGTAATGATGCGGTCATTCATCCAGAGCTAAAAATCAGCAGGTTTAATGCATGATATCCCTTGATTATGCCCCAGTATTTTCTGATAACATAAAAGTCTCCAGAAAATACTGGGGCATAATCATAAATCCTAGGAACATTTTCAAACTAAGATACAATGATTTATGAAATAATGTGCTAATGGTCTTTTCAGAGGATTTTCTTTTTCAATCTGCAAACGAATCTCTAAGTTTGTACTTACAGACCATGTGATAAAGACCATTGTAGGAACTTGAAGGGCTAATGGTTCAAGAGTCATTATCACGATGACTGTAGAATCCATTCTAATGCTTGCTTATAAAAACCCAAGTAGGGAGGCCAGCAGCTGGCTTAGCGGTTATGTTGCTGGACTCCCACACAACCAACTGCAGTGCGAATCCCAGACCCAGCGACTTGAACCTCAGGCAGGGCCCATGTGCATGAATGCCCAAAATCCTGAAAGGGGAATGGAGGAGAAGAGATTACAGCATGGCCATTTACCCAGGGGGTGATTTCTCACTCTCTGTTCTGTCTCTCCAGCAAGCACATGTACCTATAGCGAAAATCTCTCAAACAAAATTAAAATCCCAAAGTAGGCTATAATTCTCTCTTGAACTCTTTACTCATACTTGATGTCCACAAAAAGTCTTTTGTCTTCTGACATAGTGGGCTAATTTTGAGACTGATTCTTTCACAGTCAAACAAAACTTTAAAAGAGAATTTAACTGTCATCTTTAGGGAGGATGTGATCATTGTAGATATCTGGGAAGAAAGAGTCATGGGATGATGTGTGTATGTGGCAATGCTGCTTCATCTTCGCGACCCTTGGTTGACAGAGAAACTTTCAGACCTTTCTCTCCTTAGGGTAAAATACCTTAAAAGGAACCTTCCATCTTGTAGTTTATGACTCTCGAGATGATTCTGGGTGAGACCGGAAATCATTTTCTATTTCTGTGGGTTTCATTATTTTGGTATTTACATTTTTCTTATAAGACAGTCCTGAGCACATTGTTCGTTCCAGCGGAATTGGTTCACTGCATTTATGTTGTGGACATCAGCGAAGATCCGTTAGTCACAGTTCAGGGTTAGCGGACACCCTGTTCCCTTGATCTAATTTTGAAGATTGTATCTCCCTTTGTCTCCTTTTTTCTTGGTCATAATCACTTCCATATATACACCAGCCATTAATGATGTACTCCAAGCTCCTCAGTTTGCCTGGGGGACCTGGAACTAGGAAAGTTATCTGTAGCAGTGGGTCTTGGTGTGATCCCAGGGGACATCATTTGTCATGGCATTCTTTTCTCTCAGCAGCATATGGACTGCCTTTCCCCTGCATAGTCTGTCAGTGAGTGGTGATCTCTGACAGCTGCAGAGTTACACTAATTGATCAAGAGCAGAGCCAGGATATGTAGTTCTGCCCTCCAAGGACCATCCAGGCTATCAAAAAACCTGGCCCCTGATAAACGATGCTCTGAAGATGTTTTCTTGCCTTTTATATCTGTACTTGTGGTTTTGTTTTTAAACTAAAAACAGGGTTAAATTGATTTTTTTTTTAATCTCCCTGCTTGGCCTCTCCTACGATGTTCTAAGTTTTCTCAGTGTTCTCAAAGGTTTTGGAGTCTTGTTTCCTTTTAGCAAATGATTGCTTTTCTATTTAGAAGCTGTTACCTTGTTCCAGTTACATCTTTCATTTCATTTCTTTGTCTGTAAAATGAGGAAATACTCCACCCTGCTGTGAATGGGAAGAGACTGGCACAGGCCAGTCCCGCAGCAGCTTAGCACGGTGCACGGGGAGCCAGATCCCACGTGGCCAACCGCAGTTTGTATACCGGCCCATTGGCTTGAGTTTCGGTGGTTCACGTGCATTTCCAGAATCCTGATGAGATGGAGAAATGGAGGAAAAGAGGGACTGTGGCATGACTAGGCCCCGTTGAGAGGGTGCTCTCTCTCACAGGTGTGTGCTTGCTTGTGCTCTCCCTCATGCTCTATGGCATAAAAACCAGTACCCAGCAAGAATAAGTAAATCTTTTTTTTCTTTTCTTTTCTTTTTTTTTGGTTATGGGGCACATGCACTCACCATAGACAGCATAGACAGGAAGAGAGAGAGGAAAAGTGAGAAATCACCCACTGTCAGGATGACCTTGTCACAATCCCTTCTCTAGTCTCCTTTCAGGATCGTGGGCACACATACACATGCACCCCACGTGATTTTCAAGCTGCCAGGTCCAAAACTTAAACCACGTAGCTTGCCATATGGGATCCAGCACCTTAACCTCTGTGCCACCTGCTGGTCCCATATGCTCAGTAAATTTTAGTTGCCACTTTTTCTTCCCCTTTATTTCCCTGGCAGATCGTCTTCCAAGCTCTACGGCTTTTACTACTTGTAGCCCAGCAACTTTTAAACCTGCACTTAGTTTCTGTTTAGACCTGCATTGTCCAGTAACCACCAGCCATGGGACTTCTGAATACTTGAAATATAGATAGACCAAAATGGGTTGATGTTACAACTATAAAATACCAGATTTCAAAGACCTAATTTAAAAATACAGTTTTTGGACCAGCCTATGTCATAGCTTAGTGGTTAAGGGAGCTGAATCCCACATAGCTAGCTGCAGTTTAAATCCCAGCCCTGGCAGCTTGAAAAGGACGTCAGGTGTCTGTCCATGCATAGTCAGAAATCTCAATAGGACAGAAATGGAGAAGAGGAGTCTGTGGCATGACCATGCCCCATTAGAGGGTACTCATTTAAGCCCTGTAGAGGCCTTGTATACAGAAGAGTTTAATAAATCAGGAGAGTAAAACAAAGTGAAAGTTCAAGACAGTATTTTTAATTCCTAGAATATTCATTTTTTAAAAAAATCTAAGCTTTCCGCTATTTCAGTGAACTTATTGATGCATTGTTAGAGTAAGTTTTCTGCAGCCTTCAGTCTATTGCAAATACTTTTTAGCTGTGTTGTCCCTTTGAGAAACCATGAAAGGGGCTCATATTCCTCATTTGTGGCAAGCATTCAACCTTTGAGGCTTTAAAAAAAATTGAGTCCATTTGAAGTCAAATTTAGTGAACTAATATGAATAATCAAGCTGGAATATGCTTTTTATAGAATCATTAGTCTAATATTTTTCTCATGATTCATAGCAGATTCAAGGCAATCCCAAAGGAGTTTCTCAAAAATGTTTTGATCAGTAACAGAATGGATAGAATAAATATGTAACTTCCTAGGGGAATGTATTAACAAACCTTGTAAGTCTTTATGTTTTACCTTTTTAAAGTTATATTTTGGGGCTGATAGGTGGCATGGTGGTTAAGGTGCTGTACTTCCACATGACCAACTGTGGTTCAAGTCCTGGACCTGGTGGCTTACTTTCTTACTTTCTCTTTCTCTCTCAGTTTCTCTCTGGTAAAATTGAAAAATAAATAATAATAGCAGATAAAATTAAATAAATCCTTTTTAAAAATAAACTTATATTTAAATATATGTAATAGAAAAAAAAAAGTATAGGCTGCACCAGGTACAAGTGTCATTAGTCTCATGGGGAGGTCAGGGAAGAGAGCTTTAACATGAACAGAAGACGGAGATGGGACCAGTTGTCTTCTAAATTGTGTATTTTTCTTCTTCCTCATAGATGCTTGTTGCCAACATTGACTTGGGTCCTACTATTTTGGACATCGCTGGCTATGACCTGAATAAGACACAGATGGATGGGATGTCCTTATTGCCCATTTTGGTGAGTATAAAGCCCTCAGTTAAGCCTGAACCAAAACTCTGGAATAAATTCCAAGTTATATAATAACTACAGAATTTAAATCTTTAAAGCTATTAAATTTAGGCAGAGAACAGAATTTCTCTCTTGATCTTGTGGTAGGAAGGCGTTTTCTAAAAGAGAAGACCAAATTGGGCCACATGTTAACTTTAGCATTCCATATCCTCCAGTTTTCCCCTCTGCCCATAGAAAACCCACCATGAAAAAGGTTGGCAGGTAGCAGATTGGGAAAATATGGTAATTAGTCCTAATACATGAGTTCTTAGAAAGCAAAGATTAATATTTCAATGAAAAATGTAATCAAGTCACAGAAGAGTTAGTCATGGGACCAGCAGTTGGCATGGTGGTTAAGGCAGCTCAGTCCCACATGGTCGACTGTGCAGCTCAAGTCCTGGACCAAGCAGCTTGAAAATCATGCCAGGTACATGTGCTTGCATGCCAAAAATTTTGAGAGTGGTATGGAGAAGGCATTGCAATGCGGCCATCCCCTCCTAGAGCGTGATTTCTCGCTTGCCCTCTTTCTCACTCTCCCCTCCCCTATCTCTCTTTGGCGAATGCACGTACCCTATAGCAAAAATTTTAAAAAATAGAAGAGTTAGAAATGGTCAAAGTAAATGCAAAAAGATCATTTCAATGCTGACCAAAGAAATGCTTAAGTGAAGGAGGCTTTATCACCTGGGAACTGGCTAATATTAAAAAGATGAATACTCAGTATTCTCAGAAATCTAGGAGATACAAATTCTTCATACACTGTTCATGTAAGTGTCAGAGTAGATCTTATCAGGAAGCTGATTTCACAAGAGATCATTTCAGAATACATACATCTAGGACTTTCATCTGATTCGAAGGAAACAAATTCATTCAAATAATATCTGAGTATCTTCTATGTGCTTGGCACTGCACAGAACTGTGTGTAAAGATGGAGTAGTAGAAGAAACTGGACACCTAAGTAACCAGTAGGGAATTGGTTAAATGGTGGCACAAGTAAAATAAGACTTTTTTTTAAAGAGATCTTTGCTATAGGGCACATGCACTCACCGGAAAGACAGAGAGACAAAATGCAAGAAATCATCCTCCAGGGGAATGGACACATTACACTGCACAGAACTGTGTGTAAAGATGGAGTAGTAGAAGAAACTGGACACCTAAGTAACCAGTAGGGAATTGGTTAAATGGTGGCACAAGTAAAATAAGACTTTTTTTTAAAGAGATCTTTGCTATAGGGCACATGCACTCACCGGAAAGACAGAGAGACAAAATGCAAGAAATCATCCCCCAGGGGAATGGACACATTGCAGTACTTTCTCTTCCATTCTCTTGGGATTTTAGGCACATATGCACATGTGCCCAGCATAAGTTTTAAGCCACCTGACCTGGGATTCGAACCGCAGTCTATTGTGGAAATACAGCAACATCACCATTACGCTATCTGCTGGTCCCTAAAATAAGACTATTAAACCAACACTAAATTTATGTAGATCTGTATGCAGTAACTTAAAGAGATGTCTGCCTCCTACCTGAGGAGAAAAGGACATTTCATAACAGCATCCTTCCTCATTACAAATGTATGCAAATATAGAGGCCAGCGGGTGGCATGGTGGTTGTGGCTAGATTCCCACACGGCTCACTAGAGTTTGAGTCTCAGATCCAATGGCTTGAAAATCACGCTGGGCACATGCATGTTCATGCATGCCCCAAATCCCAGGAGGAGAATGGAGGAGAAGGGATTTCAGTGTGGCCATCCCCCCAGGGAATAATTTCTCACTTTCCCTCTCTCTGTCTTTCTCCTCTCTGATGAGCACACATGCCCTATGGGGGCAGGGGGGGGGGCGGGGGTGGGGGGAAAGTATGTGAATATTTTTAAGCAGAGAGAAGTTTGGGAGGATCAGTACTAAAATGTGTTAGCCATTTATGGTGATTACCTGGACCATACATTATAAATGACTCACTCATGGATTTGTCTTGAGTCTGTTATAATTTACGACTAGGTAGTACTTCCTGTTGTTTGTCTTTTTACTGTTGTATCCAGGTAGGTAAGAAGTGGTATCTCATGTGGTTTCAACCGGCATTGCCCTGATGCTGAGCATCCTCTCATGAGTTTATTGGCCATTTGTATATTTTCTTTGAGGAAATATCCATTAGATTGTTTATCCATTTTTAAGTTGCATTGTTCATCAGTGAATCACTTTTCATGTATGCCTTTTGTGTTTCTTCCCCTGTGAAATGTCTTTGTCTTTGCCTAGCTTATTCTCCTTCTTTGTGACTCATTTTCTCTATACGAAGATATAAGAACACAGGGAGGGGACTGGCAGGTAAAGTGGTGGTTAAGGGTGCTGGACTCCCACATGGCTGATCGTGGTTTGAGTCCTAGATCTGACAGCTTGCTTTCTCACTTTTCCCCTCTCTCTCATTCCCTCTCTGTCCCTCTCTGGTCAAATAAATAAAGTTAAATAATTCTTTTTTTTTTTTTTTTTAAGAAAAAAAAAAAAGAACCACAGGGAATGAGGCTGGCAGGTGGCTTGTTGGTTAATGGTGCTGGACTCCCACATGGCTGGCTGAGGTTCAAGTCCTGGATGGACCTAGAGACTTCCTTTCTCACTGTCCCACACTTTTGAGTCCTGGACCTCACGGCTTGAAAATCATGCCAGGCATGTGTGCATAGGTGTCCAACATCTGAGGGGAGAATGGAAGAAAAGGGATTATGGCATGGCCAGGCCCCCTGAGAAGGCCAACCCCCATGAGGGGTGATTTCTCGCTTTCCCTCTCTTCGTTTCTCTCAAATGAGCACATGTGCCATATAGCAGAAACCTTTTTTTTTTTTTTAAATAAAAGGGGGAATATTACATCTTTTAACTTAGTTCATGTAAGTTATATACAGTGTACCTTATTAAATTTACTTAGTAAGAAAAACTATCTTAAGTCTCTCTAGGGGCTATATATTGTTATGCAGCATATCGCTCCATTTCTTTTTCATTTGTAGAAGTGCTACCTAAAGCTTGGCCCTTTTCCTTGTTAGTGTTTTGTTTTTGGAACTTGTTCCAGTAAATTACTGGTTGTCCCAGTGCTCTAGCCACACATCACATGCTGAGTGTCCATTGTGCTGAACCACACGGGTATAGACATTTCAGTCAGGATGTTCTGTCGGACTGTTGGTTAACAAACTGACCAGTCAGCCAGATCTAGCCCACCCTGTTTTTGTAAATGAAGTTATGTGGGGGACATTTACAAATCACCTGTGGGTGTCTTCCTCTTCCAACAGCAGAGCTGAGTAGATGAGACTGAGATGAGCCTTGTAAATCACCAGATCTCGTTAAAATGCAGATTCAGCTTATGAGAGCTAATAGGGCCCCTTACACTGTGCATTTTAAGTGAGCCCTTAGCCAGAGTTTGATGGGTTAGGCTTCCGTTCCTAAAAGCACTTTCTAACCGGGTCTCCCTGTCTCCATAGTTCTATTCCATCTCTAGATTCTACTAAATGCTAATAGACTGACTTCTCTAAAGCACAGCCTTGATTGTGTTCCTTTCCTGCTCAGAAATTCCCCAGTGGCTTCCCATCACTTGCGTGCTTTGTAGAACAAATGGGTACCTGACACTCAGGGTTTTTTCCACCCTGATTCTGCACCGCTTCCTCATCTGAAAGCTGGCTTTCCAGAAACCGCACTCCCGAGCGTTCTGTTCCCGTCCTGCTTTCATGTTCTTTTGATCCACGACTTTTTATGCCTAGGCCCTTCCTCTTTGCACCATTGCGTGCCTGTCTTAATCATTCCCATTTCAAGTGTTGCTGCTTTGTTCCTTCTGCACCGGTTATGTGCCGTGAAGAGTAAATGAGTCTTGGGAACCAGCAGTTAGCGTAATGGCTATGTCGCTGGACTCCCACGTAGTCGAGCGCGGTTCACGTCCCAGACCCGGTGGCTTAAAACTCACGCCGGATGTGTGTGTGTGCGTGCCCAAGATCCCGAGAGGAGAATGGGGGAGAAGGGATTGCGGCGTGACCATCCCCCCTGGGGGGTGATTTCTCACTTTCTGTCTCTAATGTCTCTCTCTGTCTGTCTGGCGAGTGCACGCGCCATATAACGAAAATCTCTCCAAAAAAAAAAAAAAATGAGTAAATGAATCTGTGTATGTCTGTCCACATCTGATCAGTGAGTATCAGCTTCAACCTGTCAGAGTCCTTAGCAGACCCATTCTATATCGTGCTTCCTTTTCGTCCTTCTGTCTGTTTGGTTGTAATTTTCTTAGTATGAATTTGAGATGATTTTTTTTTTAAATAGAGGTTTTTGCCTTAGGGCACATGTACCTGTGGAGGCAATAGGGACGGACAGAGACGGTGAGGGGGACTGAGAAATCACCCTCCCCCGGGGTGGGGGTGGGGGATGGCCACACTACAGTCCCTTCTCCATTCTCTTCCTAGGAATTTTGGGCACACATGCATACATGCCCGGTGTGAGTTTCAAGCCACTGGGTCTAGGATCTAAACCACGGTCAGCTCTGGAGGAGTCCAGCAATGTAACCACTGTTCCATCTGCTGGCCCCAAGACAGTTCTTACACAGAGCACATATGCAGTATCATTCTAATCCATACTCAGCAGCTTATACCGGGGCTTGGATTCTTGCTTAGCTACTTTGTCGGTTTTCATTCCTCACCCGCTTCACAGAAGTAGTCTTGGGACAGAACTAATAAATGTTCAAAGCATTGGTCCGCTTGTAAAGGCTCTATAAATACCAGACATGATGCTCAGTAGCTTTCATATGCATCTGTTGAGTCATCCCCTTCAGCTACTGAAGGGACAGTCCAATTAGTTTTGACTCCCAAGTCCCTTTTAACAGTAAATAACTTTACGATCTTTATCACAGTCTGTTTGCCTCACTGAAACTACCCTGGCTTTTCTTTCTAGAGAGGTGCCAGTAATTTGACCTGGAGATCAGATGTCCTGGTGGAATATCAAGGAGAAGGCCGTAACGTCACAGACCCGACATGTCCCTCCCTGAGTCCTGGAGTATCTGTGAGTCATAGCTTGACTAAACTTGGACGTAAGCATTCTTGCCGACAACATAGCGATGTGCTGCTTTAACCCGTTTAGTGTCGAAACTCTTAACTTGAGTCCCACTCCTTTGTTATTTGAGTGTGGGAGGTTAGTAGATAGACAGAGGAGAATTAATCCTGAAAATGATGCTGCCATCCTGTCACCTGAATGTGCACTTTGAATTCTTCCAATTTGGTAAACAAGCGTGTGTATTTGCCCTTATTCTTACCTTACCAATACACTTTTCCCATTTTCCTACCCCTCTTGAGAGTGGCACTGTTCAGTTTGTTCGTGTTTTGGTTAGGGATACTATCAATGTCATCCAGTGGAGCAGGGGAGCCCCCTTAACTGGGCCATCATGAGTTCCATGTTGGTGCAGCTATGTGGCCATATGGGTGGTACCAGCCATGGTGGCCTTGTTCTGGAGAATGGAAAGATTACTACATCCTATGATGTTGTAAAGAATCAACCATAGATGAAATCACAGATCCTAAGGGGAGATGTGAAAAACTAAGTTAGAGTTAGGGTATATTTGGGGCCGGCAGATGGTGTAATGATCACATTGTCAGACTCCCACATAGTCAACCACAGTTCAAGTCCCAGCCGGATCAGGTGGCTTACCTCATTCTGTGCTGGTGTGCCCATAATCCTAAAAGGTGACTGGAGAAGGGATTGGGGCATGGCCATCCCCCCAGGGGGTAATTTCTCGCTTTCTGCCTCTCTGTCTCTGGCAAGCACACACTCCCTATAGCAAAAAGATCTCAATGACAACAACAAAAAAATCTAGTAAAACTAGAATTAGGGTTGGGACCAGCAGTTGGCATAATGGCTATGTCACTGGACTCCGGTGTAGGTTGACCGCGGTTCAAGTCCTGGACCTGGTGGCTAAAACTCACGCCGGGCGCGTGTGCGTTCGTGCCCAAGATCCTGAGAGAATGGAGGAGAAGGGATTGTGGCATGGTCATCCCCCCTGGGGGGTGATTTCTCACTTTCGGTCTTTCTGTCTGTCTCTGTCTGTCTGGCGAGCACACACGCCCTATAGCAAAAACCTCTCCAAAGAAAAAAAAATAAAATTAGGGCATATTTGGTGATAACCCTCCTAAGTGACCTGCAGATGGTTCTGTAAAGCTCATTTTAGCCTTTTTCTCCAACCCATTAGAATGGCAATTCCTAACAGTCTCAGAAATGACTCGTTTGATATTGATTCTCTTGCCAACTCGTACATTTTACAGGTGCTCTTACATCTCCTAGTCAGATTAGCAGCCAGGAGTGCTGTAGCCTGCAGATGGAATAGCCCAGACACCTTAGCCTGGTTAGCTATCAGTGAGAAACGAGCCTCACATCTGTTTCTGATTTACTGACTTCTCTCTGAATGGTTTCCTCCTTTCTGTCAAATAACATGTCGAGTTTGAATCAATTTGGCTGCCCTAGTAGGCAACTGGCTTTGGTTACTATTGGAGAACTGTCTTCATTTAACTTTTTAAAAATCCCTACAGCAATGTTTCCCAGACTGTGTATGTGAAGATGCTTACAATAACACCTATGCTTGTGTGAGGACCATGTCCGCTCTGTGGAACTTACAGTACTGCGAGTTCGATGACCAAGAGGTAAGAGGGACTTCTGCTTGTACCCCTGGGGCTAGTGCTAGACGAGCGCTTTGTTGGTTGGGCTTGTGGCCAAAGAGGTGCTTCCATCTGTATTCTGTCATAACGTTTCCTTCATTTAAAAAGCAGAATTCCATGAGGCCATTGCCTCACTTTGGAGCTTTTTCCACTCCCCCCACCACCACCCACACACACACTTTACCTTTTCTGGAGTGGCACACACCTGGTCTGCTTCCCTGGTAGTTCAGAATGAAAGTAAAGCACTTCAAGTTTTCTGGAGGTGAAAAAGGCTTGAGCACGTCCTCAAAAGCTTACCAGCAACTGACTCACTCAACCGACCTGCTCCTACTCCTGCGCAGCATAATCCAGTGCTGCTCAGACAGATTAGAGTGGGGCCGAGCCCAGGAGCTCCATCCTGGGAAGCTGGCAGACAAACCTGTGGCCAGCATGGATCGGTGTGGATTAGCTGGAAGGTCACATGGGCTGCAGACCCTATGGTTTCATGGCATTTATCAGCTTGCGTTCACCTGCCCATCTGACAGCCCTCATCTCACCATATGGAGCAGACGGTCATCTTGTTTCTCAGACATTGACTTGCTCATCATTCTACTTGCAGCTCAATAAGAGTTTCCTTCTAACTTAATTCCTGTCTCCCCCTCCCCCCGTAATGTTTATCAATTTGATCACCGTGATAGTAGGAAGGCAGCCATTTAAAACTGTCACAGGTTGAGACCAGCAGGTGACATAGCGGTTACATCGTTAGACTCCCACTTGGCCGACCCAGTGGCTTGAAAAATCACACCAGGCATGTGTGCATGCATGCCCAAGATCCTGGGAGAATGAAGGAGAAAGGGTTGCAGTGTGGTCCTCTCCCTCGGGAGGTGATTTCTCACTTCCCTTCTCACTGTCTCTCTCTCTCTCTCTCTGTCTCTCTCTCTCTCTCTCTCTCTCTCTGGAGAGGGCACACACCTTAAGGCAAAAACCTCTAAAAAAACTATTACAAGTAAAATGTACCTAGCATCTTCCTAGCCTCTCTCATATGAGTCTGATTTGGAGACCGCTCAGATTAGATGGAGTAGTACTGATACTAGACAAATTCATTGTTAGAAATAATAGTGTTATCTTTCCCCAGATGGTGTTTACACTTGTAAAACTCCTTTTTGTGTGTATATGTCAGAGGGCATGCATGCACACGAGAAAGCGAGAGAGAGCATTCCTTCTCCCAATAGGGCCTGATTATGCTGCAATCCTCATTCCTGCAAATCTCTATCCTATCAGGATCCTGCATACATACACACATGTATGCTTGGCATATTTGTCAAGCCAGTGGGGCCAGAACTCAAACCCTGGTCAGCCACGTGAGACCTGGCTTCCTTTGCACAACACCCAAGCACTGTGCTACAGGGCCAGCCTCAAAATCATTTTTTAAAATAGGAAACTCAAGGGAACCAGCAGTTAGCATAATGGCTATGTCGCTGTACTCCCACGTAGTCGACCGTGGTTTGCGTCCCGGACCCGGTGGCTTAAAACTCACGCCGGGCGCGTGTGCGTGCGTGCCCAAGATCCCAAGAGGAGAATGGAGGAGAAGGGATTGCGGCGTGACCATCAAACTCACGCCGGATGTGTGTGTGTGCGTGCCCAAGATCCCGAGAGGAGAATGGGGGAGAAGGGATTGCGGCGTGACCATCCCCCCTGGGGGGTGATTTCTCACTTTCTGTCTCTAATGTCTCTCTCTGTCTGTCTGGCGAGTGCACGCGCCCTATAGCGAAAAACCTCTCCAAAAAAAAAAAAAATAGGAAACTCAACATTTGTGTATCACAGAGACTTTCATATCTGTTCTCATTTGAATCTCATAATTCTGAGCCTAAAATGAGAAATCACCCTCCCCCGGGGTGGGGGTGGGGGATGGCCACACTACAGTCCCTTCTCCATTCTCTTCCTAGGAATTTTGGGCACACATGCATACATGCCCGGTGTGAGTTTCAAGCCACTGGGTCTAGGATCTAAACCACGGTCAGCTCTGGAGGAGTCCAGCAATGTAACCACTGTTCCATCTGCTGGCCCCAAGACAGTTCTTACACAGAGCACATATGCAGTATCATTCTAATCCATACTCAGCAGCTTATACCGGGGCTTGGATTCTTGCTTAGCTACTTTGTCGGTTTTCATTCCTCACCCGCTTCACAGAAGTAGTCTTGGGACAGAACTAATAAATGTTCAAAGCATTGGTCCGCTTGTAAAGGCTCTATAAATACCAGACATGATGCTCAGTAGCTTTCATATGCATCTGTTGAGTCATCCCCTTCAGCTACTGAAGGGACAGTCCAATTAGTTTTGACTCCCAAGTCCCTTTTAACAGTAAATAACTTTACGATCTTTATCACAGTCTGTTTGCCTCACTGAAACTACCCTGGCTTTTCTTTCTAGAGAGGTGCCAGTAATTTGACCTGGAGATCAGATGTCCTGGTGGAATATCAAGGAGAAGGCCGTAACGTCACAGACCCGACATGTCCCTCCCTGAGTCCTGGAGTATCTGTGAGTCATAGCTTGACTAAACTTGGACGTAAGCATTCTTGCCGACAACATAGCGATGTGCTGCTTTAACCCATTTAGTGTCGAAACTCTTAACTTGAGTCCCACTCCTTTGTTATTTGAGTGTGGGAGGTTAGTAGATAGACAGAGGAGAATTAATCCTGAAAATGATGCTGCCATCCTGTCACCTGAATGTGCACTTTGAATTCTTCCAATTTGGTAAACAAGCGTGTGTATTTGCCCTTATTCTTACCTTACCAATACACTTTTCCCATTTTCCTACCCCTCTTGAGAGTGGCACTGTTCAGTTTGTTCGTGTTTTGGTTAGGGATACTATCAATGTCATCCAGTGGAGCAGGGGAGCCCCCTTAACTGGGCCATCATGAGTTCCATGTTGGTGCAGCTATGTGGCCATATGGGTGGTACCAGCCATGGTGGCCTTGTTCTGGAGAATGGAAAGATTACTACATCCTATGATGTTGTAAAGAATCAACCATAGATGAAATCACAGATCCTAAGGGGAGATGTGAAAAACTAAGTTAGAGTTAGGGTATATTTGGGGCCGGCAGATGGTGTAATGATCACATTGTCAGACTCCCACATAGTCAACCACAGTTCAAGTCCCAGCCGGATCAGGTGGCTTACCTCATTCTGTGCTGGTGTGCCCATAATCCTAAAAGGTGACTGGAGAAGGGATTGGGGCATGGCCATCCCCCCAGGGGGTAATTTCTCGCTTTCTGCCTCTCTGTCTCTGGCAAGCACACACTCCCTATAGCAAAAAGATCTCAATGGCAACAACAAAAAAATCTAGTAAAACTAGAATTAGGGTTGGGACCAGCAGTTGGCATAATGGCTATGTCACTGGACTCCGGTGTAGGTTGACCGCGGTTCAAGTCCTGGACCTGGTGGCTAAAACTCACGCCGGGCGCGTGTGCGTTCGTGCCCAAGATCCTGAGAGAATGGAGGAGAAGGGATTGTGGCATGGTCATCCCCCCTGGGGGGTGATTTCTCACTTTCGGTCTTTCTGTCTGTCTCTGTCTGTCTGGCGAGCACACACGCCCTATAGCAAAAACCTCTCCAAAGAAAAAAAAATAAAATTAGGGCATATTTGGTGATAACCCTCCTAAGTGACCTGCAGATGGTTCTGTAAAGCTCATTTTAGCCTTTTTCTCCAACCCATTAGAATGGCAATTCCTAACAGTCTCAGAAATGACTCGTTTGATATTGATTCTCTTGCCAACTCGTACATTTTACAGGTGCTCTTACATCTCCTAGTCAGATTAGCAGCCAGGAGTGCTGTAGCCTGCAGATGGAATAGCCCAGACACCTTAGCCTGGTTAGCTATCAGTGAGAAACGAGCCTCACATCTGTTTCTGATTTACTGACTTCTCTCTGAATGGTTTCCTCCTTTCTGTCAAATAACATGTCGAGTTTGAATCAATTTGGCTGCCCTAGTAGGCAACTGGCTTTGGTTACTATTGGAGAACTGTCTTCATTTAACTTTTTAAAAATCCCTACAGCAATGTTTCCCAGACTGTGTATGTGAAGATGCTTACAATAACACCTATGCTTGTGTGAGGACCATGTCCGCTCTGTGGAACTTACAGTACTGCGAGTTCGATGACCAAGAGGTAAGAGGGACTTCTGCTTGTACCCCTGGGGCTAGTGCTAGACGAGCGCTTTGTTGGTTGGGCTTGTGGCCAAAGAGGTGCTTCCATCTGTATTCTGTCATAACGTTTCCTTCATTTAAAAAGCAGAATTCCATGAGGCCATTGCCTCACTTTGGAGCTTTTTCCACTCCCCCCACCACCACCCACACACACACTTTACCTTTTCTGGAGTGGCACACACCTGGTCTGCTTCCCTGGTAGTTCAGAATGAAAGTAAAGCACTTCAAGTTTTCTGGAGGTGAAAAAGGCTTGAGCACGTCCTCAAAAGCTTACCAGAACTGACTCACTCAACCGACCTGCTCCTACTCCTGCGCAGCATAATCCAGTGCTGCTCAGACAGATTAGAGTGGGGCCGAGCCCAGGAGCTCCATCCTGGGAAGCTGGCAGACAAACCTGTGGCCAGCATGGATCGGTGTGGATTAGCTGGAAGGTCACATGGGCTGCAGACCCTATGGTTTCATGGCATTTATCAGCTTGCGTTCACCTGCCCATCTGACAGCCCTCATCTCACCATATGGAGCAGACGGTCATCTTGTTTCTCAGACATTGACTTGCTCATCATTCTACTTGCAGCTCAATAAGAGTTTCCTTCTAACTTAATTCCTGTCTCCCCCTCCCCCCGTAATGTTCAGATGGCATAATGATTGCATCGCTGGACTCCCACAGGGCTGATCACAGTTCAAGTACTGGACCCAGTGACTTGAAAAATCACACCGGTCACATGTGTATACATGCCCAAGATCCCAGGAGGAGAATGGATTGCTGTGTGGCCTTCCCCTGGAGGGGGTGATTTCTCACTTTCCCTCTCACTGTCTCTGTTTCCTTCTCTCTCTGGAGAGGGCACACACCTTAAGGCAAAAACCTCTAAAAAAACTATTACAAGTAAAATGTACCTAGCATCTTCCTAGCCTCTCTCATATGAGTCTGATTTGGAGACCGCTCAGATTAGATGGAGTAGTACTGATACTAGACAAATTCATTGTTAGAAATAATAGTGTTATCTTTCCCCAGATGGTGTTTACACTTGTAAAACTCCTTTTTGTGTGTATATGTCAGAGGGCATGCATGCACACGAGAAAGCGAGAGAGAGCATTCCGTCTCCCAATAGGGCCTGATTATGCTGCAATCCTCATTCCTGCAAATCTCTATCCTATCAGGATCCTGCATACATACACACATGTATGCTTGGCATATTTGTCAAGCCAGTGGGGCCAGAACTCAAACCCTGGTCAGCCACGTGAGACCTGGCTTCCTTTGCACAACACCCAAGCACTGTGCTACAGGGCCAGCCTCAAAATCATTTTTTAAAATAGGAAACTCAAGGGAACCAGCAGTTAGCATAATGGCTATGTCGCTGTACTCCCACATAGTCGACCGTGGTTTGCGTCCCGGACCCGGTGGCTTAAAACTCACGCCGGGCGCGTGTGCGTGCGTGCCCAAGATCCCAAGAGGAGAATGGAGGAGAAGGGATTGCGGCGTGACCATCCCCCCGGGGGGGTGATTTTTCGCTTTCTGTCTCTGTCTCTCTCTGTCTGTCTGGCGAGTGCACGCGCCCTATAGCGAAAAACCTCTCCAAAAAAAAAAAAAATAGGAAACTCAACATTTGTGTATCACAGAGACTTTCATATCTGTTCTCATTTGAATCTCATAATTCTGAGCCTAAAATAAACCTAACTCTGACTTCAGTAACTTTATTACTAGGAAGTCTTGGTTCTGAGTCCTTGCCATGTGAGGATCCAGCCTTCTGCTCTTTGCTGTAGTTACAGATGGTAACATGCTACCTCTCCCCCCGTCCTGACTGCCCGAAGACAGGGACTCTACTGGAGGCCCGTTGGCAGGATGTGGCTAAAGACCCAAAGCAAAACAGATGCTCCATTGTTCCAAGTGTATACAGTTGGATGACAAGATCAGATGACATTCTATTGGGCCTTACGTTTTTATCCAGTTCCTTCCCAGAGAGAAATAATTCACAGTAGAAGTATTTTTTTTTCACATGTAACTTCTTCCTTTCTTTCCTCCATCCCTTCATTGCCTGTAGGTGTTCGTAGAAGTGTATAATCTGACTGCAGACCCAGACCAAATCACTAACATTGCTAAAAGCATAGACCCAGAGCTTTTAGGAAAGATGAATTATCGGCTAATGATGTTGCAGTCCTGTTCGGGGCCAACCTGTCGCACTCCAGGGGTTTTTGACCCCGGGTAAGTTTCCTTTTCCTCAGTTACTTCACCAGGCTATCTTTAGTGGTCTCGCTGTCCTGGAAGCAGAGGAAACCTGGTGGGTCCTTTTGGCTTTGAGCTGTGCTGTTTATCGCTCTTCTGCCTCAGAGTGGGAGTACCGTGTCCTTGGTGCTCCCGCCTGCTGCCCTGGGAGAATGAGCCGCAGGGAACTTCCACTGTCCACTCTCATTGGGTGCTGCAGCTGGAGGCACAGCCCTGGTCCCCACCACAAGGGACCTTCCTCCTCCCCTGCTGTAATGCCTGTCAGGGTGTCATGTGACTATACTGATGACCCTGAGGCTTAAGTAAACTCTGACCCAGTGCTGCCCTAGAACTTCCAAAACAGTATATGGCTCCATTTCATTTCTCAGAAAGCCCAGGTATAGAACCTTGACCGTGCCATTGGTTTAATGTATTAGACACATACGACGAACAGAGACGCTGTCAATTCAAATGCTGAACTATATAAGCCCACTGCAGGACCTGGAGGTATAAAAGGTATTTACTACCTAGTAAATAACATTTGTTCTTCTGACTCCGGTCCCTCTTGAAACGGTAACTTTACAGGCATGTGAGCTGCCTGGGTTGTTTATTTTTTGGGGGGGTTGAAGATTATAAAATTCAGGTTTTCAAAAGAATGGATTATTTCCTTTTTTTTTTTTTTTTTTTTTTTTTTTTTTTTTTTTTTTTTTTTTTTTTTTTTTTTTTTTTTAAGAGAGATTTTTGCTATAGGGCCACGTGTGCTTGCAGGAGAGACAGAGACAGATCAAACCAAGTAAAGTTAGATGTCTACAGCAGTTAATGCTTTCTAACCATGTACTTATTCTCTGGCTGATTCAGACTTTAAAGCCAGCATCTAACTAAGTCTTCAGTGGAGGGTCAAAGGACTTGGACTTCTCGAACTGTGATGTGTGTCCAGACAGTCCCTGTCCTGTACTGCTAGAACACACCTGCTGTGCCAGCATCCAGTTGGCCAGGGTTTCTTGTGAACAGTGGCTCCAAGCGGACAGGATTCAACCACAGAATTTCTAGTTGGCCCTTAGGCCTAAACAGGTACATTTCAAGTGAGGAAACAGCTTAGAGTTGTGATTTGTCCAAGGGTCACCCTACGGAGAACTGATTTAGCATGGTCTCCTATTTCCCAAGCAAGTTTTTGTTTGTTTGTTTGTTTGTTTTTAACTGTAAATAATCATCTTGTTCACATTCTAGTAGCTTGTAACCAAGGTTCTAGATGCCAGCTTTGCTGATGTTAGCCTGGGCTATTCATCTGATTTTCAGAAATTCATCTGATTTTCTGCTACAAATTCCTTAGCCCTGATCATTTCCTCCCCAAGCATTTGGGCCTGTAGTACCCTCTCAAATGGGTCAGCACACTGGCCCCGCTGACCCACCCAGCCAGCCTCAGGGGGAACACAGCCACCTGCACTCACATACTGCCCAGGGCTGCTTTCAGGCTGCAGCAGCAAAGCTGAGTGGTTGGGACAGGGGCCATACCCCCCACAAATACTAAAATATTTATTATCTGGCTCTTGCCAGTGAAACTTTTAGAGCCAACCACTGCTCTAAAATAATACTGAGTTTGTCTACAAGACAGGAGGTAAAAGTAAAATACGGTGTTACTTCTAGACTGCACATACAAGGTCTTTCTGGCCAGTTCCTTGCATATGGCAGTGCCAACTAAAGTTACCA